GGACGGGTGCCTGTCTGGGTGGGTGCCACACAGGCGTTGCCCACGCGGGTGGGTGCCATGTGAGGGGGAGGGCGACCGTCTGGGTGGGTGCTCGTCTGGGTGCGCGTGCAGGGGGGCACAGCGTGGGGTGCCTGGGCTGTTGCACATCTGGAGGGGTGCCTGCACAATTGGGTGCCTGCCAGGGCGTCCAAGCTTCACCCCCACGGGGTCCTGCAGGTGTTTCAGAGCCACCTTCTTCCTCCTCATCATGCCCTAACATCGGGTCTGAAAAATCCCCCCTTTCCCTCCAAAGTTTTTGCCTTTCCATCGCCTCCCCGTTCTTTCTGCTGTTCCCTCTTGTGGTCCCAGTTTGTGGCGTTTTTTTCCTGAAGTTTTCTGAAACAAAAACTCCTAAGGGAGCTCTGCAACTCTGTGTTCGGCACCTACAGAGACCTGATCTGATGAAATTGAATAGGAAACCCCCTGAGCAGGCAGGCAGGGCCCCCAGCTGAGACCCCTCCCACGCAGCCTTGGCCTCCCCGCACGCAGCCCTCGCCATGGTTCCCAGATCTCAGGCAGTGCCACCTGACCATTAATATGTTTGACTTTAATTTAGACAATGGTTACATAGAAGGGAAGGAGCTGGACAATTTTTTTCATCATCTCGTGGAGAAACTGGGACCAGAAGTAAGTACTGCACCGCGGTAGTTGTGTATCAAGTCCAAGCAAAATGTTGTTGTGCTGAGAGATGATTTGTATTTGTCATTCTCTGATTGCTAACTCCCTTAGCAATCCCCGAGGTAATGAGCTTTTCTCTTGGCAACAAGGTGGTGTTTAAGCAGGTATGACAACAAATGCAATCACCTGAGATGTTTGATCAGTTGTTTTCAGTCCAACAGCTGCTGCCACGGTGAGACTGCAGTGGGCACCAGCTGAAGGGGCTGGTTGGAAGCGTGGAGAGAAAGTCATTTACTGCCGTTGAATAGAAACAAATGAAAAAAGCACTGGCACACGGTCTGGCAGGGCAAGGGGGAGGACAAGGGTGATGGTTTATTCAAACGAGTGCTGATTAGTTTTGTTAATATGATAGGTTTCTTTCCAAGGTCAATTTTTAACAAATATACTGTCATTAATTTTAAATGGTGCTTAGAAAGAAGACGTACGTCTGTATTGCTGAAAATGGCTAGAAGCCAAACAGGAGCCAATCCTGTTGCTCGTAAGGTCAAGACCTGGCTCTCAAGTGTTTCTGGTTTTCTCCCCTGGTTTCCTTTCCTATTTTTGGCAGCATTTCCTCTCTCTCACTCTCTGCATCTCAATTCTACCAGAAGCTGCATGAAAATTTACAGGAGCTGTTTCCTTAGCTCCAGGTCATGCGTCGCCTTTGACTGTCACCATCAGTGACGGAGAAATCCTGCCACTCAGGTCAGCTGCTCAGAAGTACCTAAAGAATATATTCTCGTAACAGGCTTAATATTTTTGCTACACAGTGAGTACCCAACTGGGAAGAGAAAAGGAGTAAGCATCTCCCAAATGGAAGGAGAGGGTGTGCCAAAAACCAGATGTGAAACAATTCCTTTAAGCAAAAAGTAATTAAGAAAAAGGGAAAAGGTAGTTGATAAAAGGCAAAAATTCATGACTATCAAGTGTAAAATCAGAATTATACTTACAAGCCAATTAGGATTCTTGGATCTTTGGGGCTACAATAAAAAACTAGAAGTTGTGAATAATTTTTCTAGTGTGGTTTTGTTTAATTTGCAAGTAAATTTGGATCAAAATATTGGCAGTTTCTGCAGAAATGTCTTTCTAGAGCATGGATAGTTAGATGAACAGATAGGCACATAAAGAGTATTTAAAGCAAATAAAAAAAAAGATTTGACAGTAAGTGTTAAGAAACATTAGGGACACAGAAAAAAACCTGATTTGAAGAGAAATTGGAAAGCCCGTGATCATTTACCCAGGAACAAAAGATGAAATTGGGAGCTGGTAGTCTTGGGGTATTGAAACACCAGCGCAAAGCACGCTCTGATGAACCCAGTGACAGCAAATGTGAGAGGTGGACGGAGAGGCTTAAAATGAGGCTGCAGAGCTCAACGCTGCAATGGGTTGCTGAAGCAAGGGACCTCCAAGTCAGGTCTCTAGAGTGAGCTGTAGCTGGTGATAAAACTGAGGTGTAGCCGGGGATCTCTCACTGCAGGCAGCTTCCTAAAGATGAGAGGTCAAGAGGAAACTCCCAGCCCCGCTCTAGCCCATAGGCGCCCTCGCACATCCCACGCATGAGATTTTGGAGACAGCGTCACACCAGCTGGGTTGCGAACCCGGTGTGTTACAGCAGGTTTTGTGGTCTTGCTGATATCGATGTGAACTCTGTAATACCGTGTTAGGTCTCAGCACACAGAACATGCAAAGTGAAGGTGTTCTGGCAATGAACTGTTCTGCTTCCAGCGATCAAGAACAGTTTCACTGGCTGCCAAAAGTCACTGCTCAGATGACTCATCCAGCTTAAACCAGCACCCTCATCTAGTTTGCATCTCCTTTGCTTCTGCTGTCTAGGTTTTGCCACTGAAAGAAAAAGCTTAACACGAATTGAATGAAGAAAGAACCAACTCCCTCTCTCCCTATTAAACAGAAGAAATAGGCTAATTCTGGAAGGCAGTACTCACTAACTGCCAGGGTGCTCAAACAGGCTCTCAAGTGTTTTTGATTTTCTTGCCTATTTTTGGCAGTATATCCTCTCCAGCAGTATTACCCCGAGTGATAAGATGGCATGTTGCCTTGTTCCCCTTTGCCAGCAGTCTGGTTTCGGTTCTTGGGTTGTGTAGGGACAAAACGGTCTCCTCTCCAGCGGGGAGCAGGCTGAGCAGCCTGCCTCAGTGGCAGAAAACCCGAGGGGAGCCTTGTCCTGGGAGACGGAGAGCAGCCCCTGCCCCGCTCCCCTGGGTATGGGGGTTGCCTGCGGCACCGGGCTAAACAAAGGTCTTTACTACCTTTGTACAATGAGTTTGTCTAACAACGTTGAGCCGTTTTGCTCTTTTTTCACGTGATTTGTGTTGTACAGGCCTGTGGTTATAGGGGGAGGGGGAAAGGATCCCCTTTGCACTGGTTTTAACCATCCTACAGAAAGAACGTGGCCTTCGTGATACAAGGAGAGAGCTGGGATTGAGCATCTCTGTGGTTTAGTGCTCGTTTTGACCTTTACTTCTTTAGGCTCTCAACATCTCTGTTTCCTGGCACAGTGAAAGGGGGAGACAGTAATACGTACTGGCATAACTTCCAGATGTGTTGCAAGGATTAATTAGTGACTGTGTCTGAAGTGCCGTACAAGTGATAAATAATGTTATCAGCACTGGAAGTTGTCTCATCTTGAATAGCGAATGGCTTCATAATTACATTTTTTCAGCCTGCACTCTCTAAGCTGTTATTTTTCTTAATGACCACTGTAGTCCTTCAGCTCTGTTTTTCTTCCCAGCTACTCTGGAGCATCCCCAGCTGACACTAAATGCCAGGGGATGGGAACAGCTGGGAAAACAATGCAAAAAGGGAGCCCATCGGGAAGCTGAGAGGCTCAGCTCTTCCTGACGGCTCTGAGCAAGGAAGAAAACTTGAAATACCATCCAGCGAGGGAGGCTAATTCATCATCTTTTGTCGAGAATTTTTTTTGGGGGGAAGGGAAAAATTTGCAACAAAGGTAGACCTACAATAAACCAACCCAAATCACAGGTGCTGCTTTCTGTCTCTCCTCCTCCAGCAATGGGCGATTGCTGGAGGCATTTGGACAATGCCCTTAATATTACGCTTCAATTTTTGGTCAGCCCTGAATTGGTCAGGCAGTTGGATTAGATTGTCATTGTAGGTCTCTTTTAGCTAAAATCTAGTCCATTCTAATCTATTCTATTCTTAAGAAAATGCCTTCCATTTCCAGATGTGTGTTACATACAAAAAAGGCTTCAGTGAAACATGGGGGATTTATGACACTGATGGACTGAAGTTTATATAAATGCTCCATCAGCTGGAGTGGCTTCTGTGGTTTGTTTCGTTTGGGGGCTATAAGGCAGAATCAAGGGTAAGTCAGTCAGCCAAACGCCAGGGCCGGTTTGTGAACTGCTGGCGTTATCCATCTGCTGCCGTTATTACTCCCATGGCTCCTCTCTAACCATTTGAGCCTCCAGCTTCCAACCTGCTGCTGCATGCCTGCTGTGAGCTGCCTGTGTCCTCTTCTGCTCACTCATAAACCTCTTTCGTCTACATAATGGACACCTTTCCATGCATTTGATAAAAAGTTTTTATACTGAGGTGAAAACTTAGTGAAAAGGACAATTTCTTTCTGCACTGAAGTAGTAATTTTATTGGAAACAGGAAATACAGCCCCTGCGTTCCTCTCTTATATTGCTATACATCTTTCTTTCTGTATAGTGATAGTTTAGGATCTTCCTTGCTTGCTCTTTGCTATAGTTTTAATGAAGCTCTATAAGTAATCTTGTAATAATCAGGCAAGAAGAGTTTTATAGATGAATGGCTATAAATGTTGGGTTTGGGTTACTGAAAGTTTCCATAAAATCAATGATATCTGGGCAGATACAGAGAGAAATGCGTGTTACCATTATGCTTGTGTGGTTTTCGCTGAAAGATATTTCACTTTTTGCTTAAATTATACCAAAATTCAACAGAAGACTTTCATATAAAAGTCGGTTGCCCTCACCTAACTCTAAGTGTGTAAGAGACCACATGTAAAAATTTTTGAAGTTGAATTGAATTGCCTTGAATTTTGAAGGCAAGACAGGTATTAGCCTTGTTATAATTCCCCCTGCCCCCAAACCACCTGGGTAGTTATGACTGGAAGGGACTGAAGTTAATCTTCAGGAGCTCACCCTGAACAGCTATAAAGGATTTGCTTCTGCTTTTTACTTCCAAAGAAGATGAGTAGCCTCCACCTCCTCTTGCACTTCGTCCTTGCCTTGCACAATGTGCTGTCTAGCTAAATTATGTGTTTAACTTAGTACGGTCAGGAATGCACAGCTAGTCATTTGAAATTTAATGGCCAAAATATCAGCCAGCCTCAAAGTCATCCAAAGTGGTCTTCTCCTACCTTTTACCACCACAAGAGACCCAGGATCACAGACTAGGTCTCTGGTGACCAGCAGGTCAACAGCAAGAAGACGCCTAGCAGAAAGCATTCATCTTGCATCCTCCTCCAGACTAATTCAGAAATCTAAACCCTGAGTCAATCCTGATTATTTAGATGTTAGGAAGAAATTCTTCACTGTGAGGGTGGTGAGGCACTGGAACAGGTTGCCCAGAGAAGCTGTGGCTGCCCCCTCCCTGGAAGTGTTCAAGGCCAGGTTGGATGGGGCTTTGGGCAACGTGGCCTAGTGGAGGGTGTCCCTGCCCATGGCAGCAGGGGGGTTGGAACTAGATGATCTTTGAGGTCCCTTCCAACCCAAACCATTCTGTGATTCTGATTATTGCCAAATACAGTTATTTCTTGAGGTGTGGGTTTTGTCAGCCTTGATTAACCTGACCAGTTCCTGTTCCTGTTCCTGCACATTAAGGCAGGGCACTGCAAGCACCTGGAAGTATCTCTAAATGCAAACTCAACATGCCTGTGGGAAAAACACACATGATGTGTTTTCATTGCCCAAAGGCATGTCAAAAAACTTTCAGCCTAGCGGAAAGGGCAGAACAAAGAACCT